CCCCCCTTCCCCCCGCCGTTAAAAATAACGCTCCGACGTCCCTCGTATTTGGTGGCAAAAAAGGCAATTTTTTTGTATCATTTTAATACAGAAATTTCTAATTTTGTCGCGAAAGAAAATCGTGAAAAGACGAACAAACAAAAATCGAAACACCGATAAAACAAAATTTTTTTAGATTAATAACAAAAAAAGCTTTTTTTCTAGACTAGCTAAAAAGCATTTCTAAGTTTGACAAATACATAACTGCCCTCTTGGTCCTTTACCTACGTCTTTACTGAAGGACTGTTTAGAAGAACTTTTACCACCTCTGACTGAAATGCTGAATTCATCACTGCAAACTGGTGAATTCCCTGACTCATGGAAAGATGCTCTTGTGAACCCAACTTTGAAGCGGAATTGACTCGACACAGTTTTCATGAACTATCGCCCAATCAGCAACTTGCAGTTTGTATCAAAGCTTGCTGAACGAGCAGTGGCTGATCAACTGTATATTTACATGATTGAATATGGCTTGATACCCGATCTTCAATCAGCATATCGACCAGGATACAGTACTGAAACTGCCTTGATTAAGGTTAAGAATGACCTACTAATGAACATGGATAAACAACGCGTAACCTTGTTGGTCCTACTTGACCTCAGTGCTGCCTTTGATACCGTAGATCACAACGTTCTACTTAAACGCCTCTCATTTGATTTTGGCATATCAGGGATTGCCTTAAGCTGGTTTGAGTCATATCTGTCATAGAGACGTCAACGTGTCAAGCTGCGACCGAAATGGCACATAGGAAGTACGTTAATTAGATGCATGCTGTGACCGGCGACAATATGGCGCAGTATAATATAATTATGTCATTTCACATGTGCCGTTTCGGTCTCAGCTTTTATGTTCTATGTTTGGGAACCGGACAACGATTCTTCAATTGAGTGTATACAATATTAGAAGAATTAGGAAATACCTATTACGTGGTCCATGCTTTTATAGTGAGTAAATTAGATTACTGTAATAGTTTATTGTATGGGCTTCCTGATATTCATGTAAATAAGTTACAAACAGTGCAAAATTCTGCTGCCGGGGTTATCGTAGGGCATCCTCGTTTTTGCCACATCAAACCAGTTCTTTTCGATTTACAGTGGCTACCTATTAGATATCGTATTCATTTTAAGATACTACTGTTAACATTTAAATGTTTACGTGGGCTAACACCACAATATTTGTCTGATTTGGTTTCAGTAAGTAAGGTTTCTAAGTATAACCTCAGGAATCATAAGGACACTGCTAAATCCAGCTAGTGGGAAATGTAAAAAAACATTAGGTGACAGGACTTTTCAATCTGCGGCCCCCCTAAGCTGTGGAACGCTCTTCCTGTTGAAAAGTCAGGAATGAACTGTGTATCGGGAAATTTAAATCACTATTTAAATTAGCTTTTACTTAGAATTTTATACATCTTTATTACTATATACTATATATTTCATTTATTTTATATATCGTTATAAAATAATTCAGATAGTACGCGTGCTGTGATTGGCCGAGAGCCGTGTTTGCATTTCCCTGTGCAAACACGGTTGTGACGCGTGTCGACACCGGCGGGAAAATTTGAGTTTTGTTTGGAAGTTGTACTTGTACACAAATAGTCATAACTCCAGTAAAATTAGAAGAATATGGCTAATTTTCCAAGCTTAGACTTTGACTTTCCTGAGGAAGCATCTGAAATAGTAGAAACACCAGAAGAGCCTTCAACAAAAAAGAAAAAATCCAGATTTGCCAGCCTGAACTTGGAGAATTTCGACGAACTCTTTCGACAACACCGACGGAAATCAAGCTTGAATTTTACAAGTTCTAGCTCTCAAAATATTGTTTTCTTTTCGGTCTAGAATGACTAAAGCCATTGGTTAAGCTTTGGAATTATTATTTTATCAAGATTTGCTTGTAAAAGCCTCTTTCTCAAGGGAGAAAGGCGCTAAAGTTTGGCTTCTTCTCGCCTTGAAATAAGAAATTTTCAACTTGAATTTCATGCTTGGAGGCGTGTATAAAACTCGCAATTTGATTGGTTAAGGGTCTTCTTTCGCGCAATCTGATTGGTTATTGCAAATGCACAAGTATGTAAGGAGAATTTGTATATAAAACTTTGAACTAAATTCTTCTGTTTTATTTGATCATGTTTCGTTATTTTTGTTTTTGAAGAAAATAGTTTTATAAAACAAATAAAATACATTTACTGTGTTTGCACAGGCTAATGCAAACCTCGATGTGGTTGGGAGAATTCTCGAGCAGGTGCAGGTGCCTTAGGCGAGTGTTTGCACCTGCTCGAGAATTCTCCTAACCACATCGAGGTTTGCATTAGCCTGTGCAAACACAGTAAATGTATTTTATTTGTTAAATATTATTGTACTATACTATAGTATGTTACATTTATAATTCTCTTTATCCAATTTATTTAATTGAATGACTTAGTTAATTTCTGCGCATATGAACATATCCACATGAAATATGCGCGTTATAAATATCATTGTATTATTATATTATAACTATGATGAATAAAACAGAGTTAAATACCTGTCTAAAGCAATTTAACCATCAGCTAGACAACGAGATGGCTCAGTTTACGACATGGTTGAATTCTATTCGTGCAACTTTTTGTTATTTCTATTTGTTGAAGCATGTATACGTGATATTGATTGCTGGATGCTGTCCAACAACTTGAAGCTTAACAACGACAAGACAGAGTTTCTTCTACTGCATGCGCAGCATC